TGAAATAATTGTCGGTGAATTTTTGTCGGTGAAATGTTATGTCTACGAAATGACCGTCGGTGAAGTGATACGTATCCAAAAAATTCACCTCGTGTGATCAACTATAAAATCCTTTAAGTTTGTGTATGTTAGAGTTATGTTTAGATGTTATAGGATATAAAGTAAAATTGCTTGAAGAAACTTTAAATCCAGCAGCTTACTATTCTCATACACCAGAATAATTCGAGTTATTTTGATGGTGATTGCATCATCATCAAATAACTTCGTTAACGCAATTATAACCAAAATAACTCGAATTATTCTGTTGATTCGGTCGGATAACTGTATATTATTAGGCACAAGAAATGGCTTGTAAAAATTGTCCAAAAAAAATGTTTGCATTGACTTTTCCCGATCGTGTTACTTTACGTTAAATTAGGCCTTTTATTAGTTAATTGGTGATACTGGTACGTAGTTTGACACGTATGTGCATATATGTGGTTCACAAAATGTGCTGTTTGCCAATTCTATGATAATGGGATGCAAAAACATTTAGATCGTGTCTTGTGCTCTTATTTTATTTATAAAACTTGAAGGCCTCGTCTTTTCTTACAATGCTAAACCATAGTTTTTTAAAATTTGAGTATTGCAAATTGAAAATCTGCAAATGTTTAAATACAGATAAAAGCTTCCACTTTGCAATACTCATTTGTAAATTAATAATAGAATAAAATAAAGATGATTACATGCCGATGACGATGTGTTAACTATGAAAATGAGAACTATTGAACCTCCCAAATTGATCCTGCTAAAACGATAACTTGTTAAATCTGATAAAAAAATTAATCTGCTAAATAAGTTTCTGTTATATAAATCCAATAGTTTATAAGTTTTCAAATCTGATAACTTTACAATCATAAAACTTGCACACCATACATATCGATTTTGGGAGTTCACCAAGTTTGCAAAGAGATATGAAACTTGCATTTACGACTATATAATTCTCTAAACTACAACGCAACATTCCGGATTGCATTTAGTTCTACAATGGAATTTATACTACTTGGTACTTATCGATATCTTTGAGATAATGTTTACTCAGAAACTCTCTTAATTTCACTATTTCACTTTTCATTTCATCACGCAATTCCTGTTTTATCTGTTGAATGGTCGGCTCATCCGTATTTGCAGTTGTTGATAAAATACATGTTTTCTCGAAAGAAGGGCGTTTCTGAGTTTGTGAATCATTAGTCTCAGCCATTGCAGAGTGAGTGGAAGGCACTACTTTAAGTAACTGTCAAAAAAGTTAATAAATTTATAAATCAATAAATTAATCAATAAATTAATCTAAAAAAATACCTACATGACGTTGAACAATACCCCAAGGATTGATTCTTCGTGATCCAAATAGAACAAGATAAATAACACTAAGTACGCTTAAGAAACCTCCCATGTTGGCAGTAAGTTGAAAAAGTGTAAATTCTATTCGGTCATTCCAATGTTCTACAGCATATTCCTGAGCGTTTATTTTCTCATTATTAACATATTTTTCCGGAATAATTCTGAAAAGTCCCCAAAGATTAGGGCTAATTCCAAATCCAGCTATAGCAAAACTTGTAAACATTTTATCCAATTCGACAGATTTTTGAATAGTTTGCCCAGCTGTACCACCGGTTAAAATATCATGATTGCCGATGCCATACTTTTCTATTCTCTTGAAATATAAATATGATATAGATGGCTATAAAATTATGCATTATTAATTATCATATGACGAATCACATAGACCATCTATTTTCTTCGAAATTTTAAATTAAATATTCACCATTTTGACAATTTGAAACTTAATGTACCTATAATCTTCTGATTCAGTGAATGTTCCGAACATGAACCAATGATCTTCAGTCATTCCTAATTTCTTGATAGTAAAATTTACAGTTTCAAAAGTTAGGAAAGTTGCAAAGATTATATACAAAAATTCCATAATATAAATGCTGTATTCTTACTGTATTGTTAGCTAATTTACTTGACCATAATACTATGGCAATTTTCTGGGTCGAATTATCAAATACAAGAGGATTTACTCCAAGAGCTTCATTAAACGGTCGTGAAGTATTTAAAATATCTACACAAAAAATACAGTAAATTAATATACTTGCAAATGATTATTTATTATCGAAAATAATCGAAAATGTTACAAACAACAATATAGTTGAGTAAGGTTATCATAACCGCGCATATTAATGAAAGTTGTAGCATCAATTCGTTCAGTCGATAAGTATTCATCACATTTTTTGCCCTTAAAAAATCGAATAAAACTAGCCTTATTAAGCAAAATTTGTGTTACTGAACTTATGGTAAATGTAAATACATACCTTCGTATGATCGTCATCTGCAGCGTTGAATTCACTTTTATAGCACTCAGCTCGTTGGTCAAGTATATCACTACAAATAACTAAACCTGGCACCTAATTAAATAAACAATATACATATTCGTATAATCCTGACACGATACCCTTTAAAAGAGGTAACAAAATATTATAAATGATTACCCGTATACTAGAGTGCATGACAGACTTTAAGGAAACCACTGGAGATTTTACAGACTCTATCATGCGATGTATGTTCCAGTCTTTAAATGTTATATAATTTATGTAAAATGCGATAATAATGATAAAGAGCGCCAAATTAAAATGATTTCGAATTAATGAAAAAACTTTGTTCATCACACACAAACAATAGAAAAGAATAATATAAAGTAACATGTTATGGAACGTATATCCATAAGCAGTTGTTAACAATATAATTAACAATATAGTTGCATATCTTAATCTTCTTTCTGTATAAATATTATAAAATATAAAATATCAATATATGAGCTTATATAAGCTTTTATACGATTTGTGTCTTTACCAGCTAAGTCTCTTTGTGATTCATCTGTGAATGACATAATTGTTTTTTTTTTAAATTCCAGGCACTACGCTATTTTGAAGAAATTGCAAGTACTGTCGTTTTTATATGCACCGTTACTAAAGCTTTAGCTGCAAAAACAAAATTAAAATAATTTTAGAACATTCTGTAAATGAAATATCCCTAATTAAATATTTTTAAATGAATCATTTAAACATTTGAGATTTCCCGTTTACTTTTTATAATACTGATGTCACATTAAAATAAAGTTCGACTTTGAACAATCGATAGCAACAGAAAGTCTGTATATTTTTTATAGATAGTTGCATAATTACCTTATATAAATTTAGCACTGCAATTGTAAAATTAGAACACGGAAAGTTCATATGGATATTCATTTATCTGTATAGCATAGTCGCGCTGCATTAGGAATGAGTTCATATTAATAACAGTCGGATTCAAAGAAACGATGTTATAGAAAAAAGAATAATTCATAACCCAAAAATGAATATCAAACTTGCTAAACATGAGAATTGGTTCTAAGTGTTGCCTAGTTGTCAATTTATATTTAACACATATCAATTTATCAATTTACATAATCACTCCCTTTCTAAATTTAGGTTTTTTGCATTACTCAAATCTTTTTCTAGAATTATAGTTTCACACAATGTCGCTAGGGGAAAACCTGTATACGTATTTAAAAATAGAATAATTTATTGCATGACCATGCAGGTGGTCTCGTTCCTAATTGAGTGAAAAACGATTATTTGTCTTTGTGAATAATGCGTAGGGGTTTGGGATTAGAGCATTAGGATCAGAGATTATAAATTATCACTTATTGTATGTAAAATTTATCATTTGTAGTATATCAAGTTTTATGCATGTGCATGATTGTGAATTATGTGCATTAATGGGGTTTACTAATTTCATCCTAGTTCCTATTGGACGAAGAAAAATTCTGCTTTTCAATCAAATAATAGAAGTATCGTTAAAACATATACTATTATAAAATTTTACAAAGGATTTTTTTTTTGTTAGAACACGAAAGGTGGTTATGTAGCCAAAATTTTAAGTACTGGCAATTTTTGAAAAAAACATCAAAAACTTCGATTTTTTTTGAAAATTTTATGTTACACCTGATATTATAATTTGATTTGTAGACGAAGAGTGGCGTAGTCTGCTTTATCCAATCAGAGACGGCATTTACAAATGCCCAATCAAAACTGGCGAGAGAAATTAGGGTCCCGGCATTAATGTGCATACATGCGCAGACTCCAAATCATGCGCATTTTATCCTATAAAAAATTTTTACATAGAAAAATTAAAATGTAAATATATCGTTATGTGTCCAGAGCTATAATAATAAAGGTAACACAATAAGACCAAATCGTGAGAATTATTTTATGCATTAATTAACCCCAATCGGAAACACGGAAGCGACCACTTGCTCTCGTGGATTTGACTTGTCACAAAATTCGATTTTATCAAAATACATAGTCATTACCAATCAAATCGATGACTGTGATATATCAATCACATAATGTGATCGCCGACCAATCAAATTAATAACAATATACGAATAAAACGATTCATTGCCAAACGATTTATTATCAAATTATTTATTATCAGCGAAGTTTACTTTAATTAGATATTTAAATAGTAATTCTATTTTATTTTTTCATTATCATTA